TTCAAGAGTTAATTTTAAGTGTCAAATCACTATGTTGCACACCTGAAACTAGTAACATGTCAACTGTACTTCAAAAAATTCTGGGTTTGCTTTCTTTTAATTTATTATGTATTTTCTGAAAATATAACCTCATTCTTTTATCTACACTTACCAGTATACTAGCAACTACTTTTTTTTATTAGCAACTAGTTTATACACACACACACACACACACACACACACACCCAATCTATAACTTATTGTAGAAAATATAATTTATAAGGTATTCTGCATTGTTTTTGAGAATTCTTTCTATTTTTCAATGTACTAACAGGAATAGGAGGGGTTAGAGGAAAACAAAGAAGAACCAAAGAATCAGTGACAAAGCCCTCATTAAATCCCTAAATAAAGAGGCTTTCAAGACTTTCATTAATCTGTTGCTAGATTTCTGGTAATCTTAATTTCCTCGCAAATAACCCAGGCAAGCAAATTAGAAAAGCTAAATAAAACTACCTAGAGGATTTTTAAAAAATATTTTGTTTATTTATTTGACAGACAGAGATCACAAGTAGGCAGAGAGGCAGGCAGAGAGAGGGGGAAGCAGGCTCCCTGCTGAGCAGAGAACCCCACAAGGGGCTGGATCCCAGAACCAGAGATCAGGACCTGAGTGGAAGGCAGAGCCTTAACCCAGTGAACCACCCAAGCACCCCTCACCTAGAGCATTTGGTTTGGATAGTAAGTCACTGAAATTTGAAAAATAATAGGATGGGGTTTTTTTGAGATTACTTATTATAGATATCACCAAATGTTCCTAACTACCAAGTATTATATATGATTGATATTAATAAAGTATAAATAAATTTATATTAATAAAATCAACTGAAATAAAGTGTAAATGAAACCAATTAAATAAATATAATAAAATGCCATTAAAACACTAGCAACAGGGAAAAAAGATAAATGCCTCTCTTAATGCTGTGTCACTGTGAGAAGCCACACTGCCCATAAATCAGGAACACAACTTGACCTGAACTGAATCCATAGCTCAGTGAAATGCTTTATAACTGAATTTCACTATCCAACTGAATAATTCATTATTTTTAGTGAATTTCCTCTGTTCTCTAAGTAGCTACAGCCAGTCAGCTGAAATCAACCATTATAAACTGGGAAACTGTAGAGAAAGTTTTCGAGTAAGTCAATTTAAAACTTGCTTAGACTGCCTATTTTTTCTTTTATATTTATTACTGTTACTTCACATGGCCTGAGATGAAATTGTATAGGACTCATTATCAAGGGTACATTGATGGTTGCCCACCCACCATCCATTTCACCCAACACCCTTTTTATGGCCATAAATTTAATTTAGAACAGACCAGTTATTTACCCACAAAGGTAGCATGCTTCAGGAAAGCTGCCCTCACTCCTAGCTCCCACGGTAAACCCAACTGATCTACAAATAATCCCATTCCTTTTGACACAGTGATGATTCAGAAACTCAGGTTAAACTCAGGGCATTCCCCCAAATTTGCTTTAAGAATAAAATATACAGGGGCACCTGGGTGGCTCAGTGGTTAAGCCTCTGCCTTCAGCTCAGGTCATGATCTCAGGGTCCTGGGATCGAGCTCCGCATCAGGCTCCCTGCTAGGCGGGAAGCCTGCTTCTCCCTCTCCCTCTGCCTGCTGCTCTGCCTTGTGCTCTCTACCTCTCTGTCAAATAAATAAAATCTTTTCAGAAAATAAAAGAAAAGAATAAAATATACAGGGGCACCTGGGTGGCTCAGTTGGTTGGGCGTCTGCCTTCAGCTTGGGTCATGATTCTAGGGTCCTGGGATTGAGTCCCACATCAGGCTCCCTGCTCCAAGGGGAGCCTACTTCTCCTTCTCCCACTGCTGCTCCCACTGCTGCTCCCCCAGCTTATGTGCGTGCACGCTCTCAATCTCTCTCTCTCAGACAAATGAATTTTTAAAGAAAAAAAAAGAATAAAATATACTTTTTTTTTTTAGGTAATCTCCATACCCGACGTGGGGCCTGAGTTCATGACCCTGAAATCAAGAGTCACATGCTCTTCTGACTTGATTTAGGGGTGGGCAGGTACCCCTAAAATATGCAACTTAATTCAGGCCAATGAGACACAAAGAGGAGGGTTCCTCTAAAAAATACGTCTTGCAATGGTAAGAAATGCCCTCTGCTTGAGAATGTGAAGTCTGGGCCTTTTCCACCCATTTTGCCACTATAATGGAAGTCAGCTTGAGGAGAAAGCCAACTTAAATACAAAGCCAACATACAGAAGAAGGCAATGATGAGAATGGAGCCATAGTCAACAGACAAAATCAGTTTACTAGTGAGTCCTACCTCAGGCTTCAAGTTACATTTTAATAATAAATTTCCTCATTTTTTTAAGTCTGTTTGAAAGAAGTTTTCTGTTCCTACATTCTAAGTAATATACAAATATAAATGAAAATTAAATTGTCATTAATCCTTCCCTTTAATCTCTCATCTTAAAATAAATTATAAAGCTAAAATAGCCACACAAAGCATACAATAACAAAAGTTTCATAACTTGGTATATAATTTCAAAAACTTTAAAAATCAGAGTAAAAATCAAAAGTAACAGTAAATAGCAATTTAACAGAAACTTATAACAACTAAATGGGAGTAAAATTTAACTTCAGGATGCAAAGTTCTGCACTGCCTTGAAATGCAGCACTGCCACATAGAAAGAAAGAAATTCATGAATTTTATTTATTTACTTTTTTTGGAGGGGTCGGGAAGGACAGAGAGAGAGAGAGAGAGAGAATCCCAAGTAGGTTCCAAACCCTGCATAGAGCCCAACACAGGGCTGGATCCCACAACCCAAAGATCATGACCCAAGCCAAAATCAGGAGTCAGGTACTTAACTGAGTGAGTTGACCAGGAGCCCCAGAAAAATGCATAAATTTTACAACAAGATCAGTAAATATCAGAGAAAGAGTGAAAAATAAAAATGGAGACTGGGTAAAAAAGAAATTGGGAAATTAATATACAATTCCAAAAGCAACCGTAATTTTATCCAACGAAAATCTTTTGTAAGAACCTATCTCTTAAGACAGGGTGAGTATATATAAAATGAATAAAAGGAAATATCAGCAATTTTGTGATTATACAGCTCCTAGAAGGCAAAAGTTATCTTCCGTCCAACTATCTTTCTACTGTACTTCAATGCCTTCATTTTTTAAAAAATATTATTTACTTATCTAGGGGAGAGAGAGAGATGGAGGGAGGGGCAGAGGCAGAGAATCTTCAAGCAGACTCTCCACTAAGCACAGAGTTCAATGAAGGGCTCACTCTCACCACCCACAAGATCATGACCTGAGCCGACACCAAGAGCTGGACACCTGACTGAGCCAGCCACACGCCCCTTCAGCGACTTCATTTTATGAATGAATAGCAAAAGCAGATCAGGTTCCAGTAGGTGATGACACATGCAACATGTCAAAATTTCTAGGAGAAGCGTAAGAACTTCAGTATTTTGTTCAATGGCTTCTATTATTGCTACACACACTAGGAAGGTCCCATCCCTCTTTCTTCTTGGCTTCAAAGACCCTAAAGAGAAGGTGACTCTATGCCTTCCTCTGAAAAACTGGCCTATCAGACAAAATATGGAAGACATCATAAAATGTAGAGATAAGAACCTCAAAGTCTGAAACAAACAAAGGTTTGAAGTAGGCTCAGGAGAGAAGGTCACACTGGTTTCACTTATTTTGGGGAGAATATGAAATTACTCCAATTGTTTATTTTCCCATGAAGAAATTATTAAAAAGCCACCCTCTTTCTTAATTCTCCCATAAAATTAAGCATTTTCTCAAAAAAAAAAGAAAGAAAGAAAATAACCTTTAGAAAAGGCTGACTACTACTACTAACCAGTTTTTATAAGAGATAAGCGTAACTTTTACCAAAGAGTTAGTCTCAGGGCACCTGAGTGGCTTAGTTGGTAGAGCATGCAACTCTTGATTTAGGGTTATGAGTTCAAGCCCCATATTAGGCATGAAGCCTACTTAAAAAAAACAAGAACAAAAACCAAAGTCTCCTAAAATAAATAATTTTCCCCCAGTATCTCTACGGCAGGTAATTTACCTCTTCAATTAAAAGGAACAAATACTCTGACCGGATTCACAATAAGCGTACCAAATTAAGTACTTTTCTGTATATGAGCAAGAACCAATTAGAAAATATAATTTATACTTGAACTCAGTAACAGCAAAAATGACAACCTACTGAGAAATAAACCTAACATAAAATATATGAGACCCAATTAAAGACAACTAGAAAAGTCTACTAAGATATCCAAAAAGGGCTAGATAGGACACACTGAGCTCCTGGTCAGTTAGTCTCAAAATTATGTTAATTACATCAATATGCTCAAGAAGCAATACCAAGAAAAAAATGTCAACATGATTTTTCATCAAATCACACAGATTTATATTAAAGTTCTCTAGGAAGAGAAAATCCTCAGAAGTAGTAAATATTTTTTGAAAAATAAGACCAATAAGGGGAAGCTCACTCTAAATAGGAAATGGTACAAAACAATAGTAATTAAAATATGTGGAACTGGTATAAAAAGATATATATAAAACAAGAGAATAAAATATACCATGTTCAGAAACAGATCCATGTAAATACAGAAATTTCATATACAATAAAGGCATTTGCCGTCTTTATTTTTTTTTTAAGATTTTATTTATTTGTCAGAGAGTGCATAAGCAGAGGGAGTGGCAGGCAAAGGGAAAAGCAGGCTCCCTACTGAGCAAGGAGCAATATCTGGGACTTGATCAGAGGGTCTTGGGGGATCATGATCTGAGCCAAAGGCAGAAGTTCAACCAACTGAGGGACCCAGATGTCCCATTTCTCATTTTCAGAAAGAACAAAGTATTCAATGAATGAGGCCAACAAAACTGTCTATAATCCTGATATATCATTATCAGCAAAAATTTATAAGATTAATCATATACAATATATTTGCAAGAGAAGAAAAACTGGCCTTACCATTTTCAAAGACATTTCATAGAAGTTATCAGCATTTTAAACTGCATACCCTTCAAGCCACCAATGGTATCTATCCTATGGAAATACACGCACACATGGACCAAGATATATGCAAAGGATGTTCATTACATCAATCTGTAAGAGCAAAAATACAAGAAGCAATTAGTAAGGTAAAATTAATAGTTAAGTAAACAATGACATAACCATAAGATGGCATAGTAAGCAGTTAGTAAGAAAACAGAACTACATGTATTCAGATGACAAGTTCTATAACTTGTGCTAAGTCAAACAGGAAAAGCTAAGTGTCAACAGTAGTCACCATTTAAATTTCAAAATACAAAATGACATTCTGTGTACATATAAATGCAAAGAACAATCCAGGAGGATACATATCAGTTAATGGGGGCCCCTACAGGGAAAAGAATGAAACTGAAGTCAGGTATGTGAATGGAGAGTTTGAACATTCTATAGTTTGTTTCTCAAAAAGCATCTCTCTCTCTCTCCCCCGTCCTTCCTCCTCCCTCCAGTCTACCTCTTTCTTGCAATCTCAGAGTAAAAGAGCCTCTGTAAATAATGAAATCAATAATGATTTATAGCTTTCCAATCTGGGATCCTGAAGATAAACAAATTCTCACAGTTTTAGTAAAATCAAGAATGAGGGGGCAAAACTAGGCTGATTATCCTAATACTAGAAAAGAGCATAACAAAGCCATTTTGTCCAACCCACCACACCCCTAGTGTATAATAGCAAAGCACTTTCGAAGAGAATGACCTCATCACCAGTACCAGGAATGAAACCCAACTGTTTTAAGGTCGGGGGGCGGGGGACGTCCTATTCCACCTGCCACACAACTGACTCAGGGGCAGGAATTACAACCTAAGTCTCAGTTCTCTGGTCTCTATCCCTTGTCCATAACTATAAGATCCAAAGTGATCCTCAGGAGTCTCTTTCCATGGTATGGGAAGGGATGCTTTTGCTACTGCTACATATGAAGGAAGAAATATATTACCAGGGTGGATGCACACAGCCATCTTCCAACTATAAAAGAAATCACCCCGAAGGTAAAACACTTTCATGCCTTCTTTGTAGAAGAGGGTCAGGCATGGCCAGAAAAGTAGAGCCCTGACTGAACTTGCCTGCAGGCCACTCTATTTCAGGGTGTATCAATTAAGCAGGCCAGTAACCTTTCTTTGCTAAAGTCAACTTGACTTGGGTTTCTCAATATTTGCAATTAAAACATCCCTGCTGATGGGATGGAGTAAAATGCTACTTTTTGAACTGATTTTTTCAAGACTATATAGAATTCCATTTTCTCTATCTACCATAATTTATTTAACTATTCCCTATTGATGACAGGTGGCTTACAAATTTTATCACCAGTAACAGTCAATGAACACCCTTATGTGTATCTTTAGGCATTCATATTATTATTTCTATAGGATAGAAATATGATTTCTATATCCTAAATCGATGAAATTACTAAGTCACAGAAAACTCCTACTTCTCTGCCTGCCTTCTCACCAATAAATTATTCACAATCCTGAGAGAGAAGACAAGCCAAAGAAGACTACACAGAAAGCAGAAAAAAATTTCTACAGAAGCTGCACTATAATAAGCCTTTGGTGAAAGATTTCAAACTGACAACTAAGAAAAGATGCCATATGTCACCTGCCACTCTTATAAGAACACTTGGGTCAAAGAAAAGAAGTCCATGAAGGGCTTATGGGTTGACTATGAGCTGTAATATAACCATATGTAATTCAACATCTAACTTTTCAGGTTGGGTATAGATCAAGTTGGTGATATCTGAGTTGCATGTTAATGGACCATTATCATCACCATCAACATCAGTATTATGGCCATTTACATCTACATCCCACCTTTTTTTCCCCTCTACTTGTCCAAGGGCTTATAATCTTTGATGCAAAATTTCCAAAGAAGATAGTGCCTCTCAGTTTTCTGATTAGTTCTCCAATTACCTTACCTACGCCCTGCTCTACTCATCTGTTCCCATGGGGATGCCATGTCATTACCAATGACTGAATCCCTCTATAATCTCAATTCTAAGCATCTCATTCCCCAATCAACATCTCCTATTTTTCAAGTTCATTCCCTGTAGAAATTAAATTCAAACAATCCTCTGACTCAACTAGGACCTAAAATCTACTGGTCCTGCTACCTTTTCACTCTCCTTACCCCCAAGTAGTCCTTACTTCCCCCTTGACCAGTTTAAATTGCAAATTTTAACCACTATATAAAGTGGTTTAATATAACCACTTCTTTCATACTCCCTTAACTTCGCTGCCCATCTCTGGTTTCGTGTTTCTCTCCTATCAAAACTCTAACCCTGAATAAGAAAAATTCTCCGCCTACTCTGTGCCTATACCAATGCAGCTAAATGAATGCAGCATGTGAAAAACACAACCATGTTGACTGGTCTCACCTTAAATTTATGACCACCATCCTCAAGTGCACCCTCCAACTTCCTAGGAATTCTACAACTTTTCACTTACCTATTTACCATCCTCACCTTCATAGCTTTTCCTCTCTACTTAAACCCAACACATCTCCTCCCCATCCTCATTCTCAGCTCACACCTTGCTTCAGATTTCACTGAAAAGAAAAACAATTAAAAAAGAACTTCCATAGGTCCGTACCCTGTAGTTTAGTCACATAATTGTATCTATACCCATATACTCTGCCATGACGGTTAATTTTATTGTGTCAACTTGAATGGGCCACAATGTGCCCAGGTTTTCAGTTAACCATTATTCTGGGCATGTCTGTCAGAGTGTTTCTCGATGAGATTAGCATTTGAATTAGCAGACTACATACTGCAGATTGGTCTTCCTGGGTGAGCCTCGTCCAATCTGTAGAAGGCCTAAATAGAACAAAAAGGCTGAGTAAGAAAAATTCGCTCTCTGCTTGAACATATTCAATCTAGGTTATTAGTCTTTCATCTTCAGAATCAGACTTGGAATGAAACACATACCATGAGCTCTCCTGGTTCTCAGGCCTTCAGACTTGGACTAGAACTATGTCTTCAGCTCTCCTACATCTCCAATTTGCCAACTGCAGATTACGTGTGTGTGTGTGTATGTGTGTGTGTATAATATAGATAATATATAATAACATATAGTATATGTAATACACAATACATACAACATACACACATTATAGTATATGTCTCTCACAATAAGGAATTGGGAACTAGCCCATGCTACTAAGGAGGCTGAGAAATATATATACACATGGATATCAACATCGATATAGGTATCAGTATAGTGTGCGCGTGCACACAAACACACACATATATAGCCCATGTGCTACCATTCCTACTCAAGGGCATTTTTCCCCTCTCTCATGCATCACCAATTTTTCTCTTTCTACTTGTCTCCCAGAAAAGTCCCAAAGTCCCATCAGTATATACACATACTGCGATTTCTTCCATTTTTAAAACACACTCTTGGCTAACTACTCCATTCTTTTCCCCCTCGTTATAGAAAAACTACTCAAGAGAGTCATCTGTACCAGCAATTCCATTTCCATTTCTTCCACTGTCTCTTAAACTCACTATAACCACTCCATCCCACCAAAAGGGCTCATACCAAGGTACCAATGACTTTCATGTCACCAAATCCTACAGTCAATTCTCAGTCCTCATTTAGCTCACTACATCAGCAACATATGACACAATCAGTCACACCCACCTTCATAAAACACTTTATTAAACTTCTGTGACAACTCTGGATTCTCCACCTACATCAGTAAGAATTCCTGCTCAGTATCTTTTTTTTTTAAGATTCTATCCATTTACTTGATAGAGAAAGTGTACAAGCAGGGGGAGTGGAAGGCAGAAGAGGAGAGAGAAGTGGACTCCCCACCTAGCAGGGAGTCCAAGGCAGGGCTCCATCTCAGGAACCCAGGACCCTGGGATCATGACCTGAGCCGAACGTAGACGCCCAACTGACTCAGCCACCCAGGTGTCCCCTTTCTCAGTATCTTTTGCTGGTCCTTCCTTATTTCCCCAATCTCTAAACATCACGGCATTCTAGATTCAGGTTACACACCTTTTCATTCTCTTCTCTTTACATTTATTTCCTTGAAAATCACAACCTGATGGCTTTAAAATAATCTATAGCACACTGATGACTTCCAAACTTATAAAAACAGCCTGGCCCACTGCTCTGAACTTCAAACTTGTTTATCCAATTACTTACTATATACTTGATTTCTAATGGGCATATCATGTCAATATGTACAAAAATTTCCCCAAACTGCTCCTTTTATAAGTTAGAGTTCTCAGTAAGTGCACCTTCATCCTTCTGATTACTCAGGCCAAAAACCTTAGTCATCCTTGCCTCTTTCTTTCACACTTCACATCCAATCTATCAGCAAAAATTTTACCTTCAAAATAAAGCTGAATCTACCTTCTATCACCACCTTCACAACTAAAATCTTGGTTCAAACCACATTACTTCTTATCTCCTTGCCTCTACAATCTATTCCCAAAATAGTAGCCAAAATGATTCTGTTGAAAGATAATTCAATTTAAAGAATGATACACCATAACCAAGTGAGATTTATGCTAGGAACACAAGAGTGGTTCAACATAAAATCAATCAATGTAATGTATCACTTTAACAGAATGAGAGAAAAATACCACATAATCATCTCAATTAACACAAAAAAGGCATCTGAAAAATCCAACACCCTCTCATAATAAAAGAGACTCAAAAAACTGGGAGTGGAAGGAACTTCTTCAAAATGATAAAGGGCATTTATAAAAAACCCACAGCTAATACATTCAATGGTGAAAGACTGAAGTTTTCACTCTAAGAGCAAGACAAGACTAGTGAGCATATCAAAATGTGTATGATTGTTGAGTCACGATGCTATACCACTGAAATAAATTTACTATTATATATCAACCATCCTTTGATATAAAAAAGAATTATTTGGGGGGCACCTGGGTGGCTCAGTCGGTTAAGCATCTACCTTCAGCTCAAGTTATGATCCCAGAGTCCTAGGATCGAGCCCTACATTGGGCTCCCTGCTCAGCGGGGAGTCTGCTTCTCCCTCTCTCTGCGTGTAATTGCTTGCTCTCTCTCTCTCTCAAATAAATAAATAAGTAAATCTTTAAAAAAAAAAAATTCAGAATTATTTTTAAAAAGCAGGACAGGGATACTCACTTTCACCACTGCTATTCAACACTGTATTAGAAATTCTGGCCAGAGAAATTAGACATGAAAAACAAATAAATAAAAAGCATTCAAACTGGAAATGAAGTAAAACTCTCTCTATTCACAGATGACATGATGCTACATACAAAAATCCCAAAGAATCCACAAGAAACTTACTAGATCTATTAAGAAAATTTAGCAAAGTTGGCGGGTATATGATCAACACACAAAAGTCAGCTGTGTTTTATATACCAGCAATGAACAATCTGAAAGAAAATTATGAAAGTAATTTCATTTATAATAGCATCTAAAAGAACAAAATACTGGCACAAATTTATCCAAGGAGGTGAAAAACTTGTACAATGCCAAAACATTGCTGGAAAAAAAAATGTGAAGATACCAACTAACGGAGGGGTGCCTGGGTGGCTCAGTCAATTAAGCATCTGCCTTCAGCCCATGTCAGGATCTCGGGATCCTGGGATCAAGGCCCACATCAGGCTCCCTACTCAGTGGAGAGTCTGCTTCTCCCTCCCCCTTTGCCCCACCCCCCAGCTCGTGCTCTCTCGCTCTGTCAAATAGATAAAATCTTTAAAAAAAAAGAAAAAAGAGGAAGAAAATTATTTGGAGAAGATATGGAGAAATTGGAATCCTTGCAACATCGCTGGTTGAATATAAAACAGGGCCACCAATGTGTCTGTGCAGTTAGCTCCTCAACAAGCTAAACAGAATTATCATATGATCCAGCAAGTCCACTCCTAGGTATATACCCAAAAGAAATGAAACAGGAACTCAAGCAGATATCTGCAATGTCCAATGCAGAATCATTCACAACAGCCAAAAGTGGAAAAAACCCCAGTGTCCATCAACAGATAATTAGATAAAACATAGCATAATCACACAATGGAATATTATTCAGCCATAAAAAGTAATTAAGTTGATACATGGTACAACATGGATTAACCCTGAAAGCATTATGCTGATTAAAATAAGCCAGATGGGGGCGCCTGGGTGGCTCAGTGGGTTAAAGCCTCTGCCTTCAGCTCGGGTCATGATCCCAGGGTTCTGGGATAGAGCCCCATATCAGGCTCTCTGCTCTGCAGGGAGCCTGCTTCCTCCTCTCTCTGCCTGCCTCTCTGCCTACTTGTGATCTCTGTCTGCCAAATAAATAAATAAAATCTTTAAAAAAAAAAAAAAGAAAGAAATAAGCCAGATGCAAACACACAATTTTTTTAATTAATTAAAAACAAAAATAAAAATAAATTTAAGAGCCCTAATATTGTGATTCCAGAATAAGCAAATTCGTAAAATGAGATTATATTAGAGGTTACCAGGGGCTAGGCAGAGGGGGCAATAGGGAGTTACTGCTTAACTAACCAGTTAGTTAGAATTTGTTTGGGGTGAAAATTTTTAAAAATAGTGGTAATGAGAACACCTGGGTGGCTCAGTGGGATAAGCATCTGCCTTCCGCTTGGGTCATGGTCCCAGTGTCCTGGGATCGAGCCCAGCATCGAGCTCCCTGCTTAGCAGGAAGCCTGCTTCTCCCTCTCCCACTCCCCCTGCTTGTGTTCCCTCTCTTGCTGTCTCTGTCAAATAAATAAAATCTTTTTTTTTTTTTAAAACCATTCCAGTGATGGTGTTTCCCTGATAAAATTCTTCAACAGCCTCCCATCTCCCTCAGAATGAAAACCCAAATTTTCAAAATACCCTACCAGGTTCTACACTATCTGCCCCCTACTCTTTCCTGTCTGATTTTATCTCCTACAACTCTTTCCTATTTCATTCTGCTCTTACTGGTCTCCTCAGCTGCTCTATGAACACAAAAACAGGCTTCTTCAGGGCCTTTGCACCTTCTTTCCCCCAGATAGCCACAGATCTAGCTCTCCCATTTCCTTCAACTCTTTACTCAAAAATTACCTTTTGAGTGAGAACTTCCCTGACAAGCTACTATAAAACTGCAGCTCCCTACTCCCACCCACAGTCATCATCCCTCTTTATTACTCTTGAAAGGATTTTCACCTTCTGACATACTGGGCATTTAACTTACTGTCTATGTCTCTCCAAAATGTAAGGTCCAAAAGCAGAAAGATTTGTGCCCCTTTTGTTCAGTGTTGGTATCCCCAGAGCCTGGGGGAGTGCTCAATAAATATTTGAGAGTTAATAAAAGGAGACCACTATTCAATGACATCAAAATCTAAACTCCCCTACCCATCCCAATATCCCTATAAGTAGCATGCCAAATTATACAAAACCTGAAGTACCATGACTCTAAAGACCGCTAAAAAAGCATCCTAAGGATTTCATACCATAGGGACTGGTATTTTAACATACTCAAATCTATCCAGAAAACAACTCAGATTCAGCTGGGGGTGGGGGGGGGGGGATACGGATTAAACGATTTAAACTCAAGAAATCCAACTTAATTTGCTAAATTACACACAACAGTTTATCTCCCCTGACTCTGCTGTATAAATGGAGTGGCTCCACTTCTGCAGGAGTAAAGGCTGGATCCGAAGGGCACAATCCTAAGGCCCCACGACAGGCAACCGGTGGCACAAGATGAGGGAGGGAAGCTCTGGGCAGGCCAGCGGCAGGTGGCGGGGGGTGCCCTTTGCCTGTCTGCTCCGGAGGTGGAAAGGGGCAGAGGACACCCATTTCTAACGCACCTCCCACACACTGTCCAGAGGCCTGGTCTGCGGGACTGAGCACCTCCAATGCCGGAGAAGGCTGGAATGATCGAAAACCCGGGGTCTGGAGCTAGCTCAAACGGGGTGGAGAGGACACGTTACCCGGAGAAGAGACAGTTCAACCGGCCTCCTCTTTCAGCTGGATGACTCGGGAAGTGCCACAACAGCAGGGCCAGGACAGGTAGCAATTCTACAGACTTTATTCCCGCGCTGCGGAGCGCACGCCGCTGCGTCACGGCGCCCCCAACACACATCAGCTCTGGAAGGCGGACGCCCCGCCCCGTCGCCGTCCTCCGCTCCTGTGGCGCGGCAGTCCCGCCACCAAGCCCAGCTGGCTACGCGGCGCGCATGCGCAAAGCCCCTCGCTGCCGCTGAGTACTCCGGGAGGTGTAGTCTCTGTGCGGGCGCCGGTGGGCAGCCAGAGTTCTGCGTCCCGGCGGAACCTGGAGAAGTCTGAACACACTCGCCACCCCCGTCCTCATTCCCACCTTCACACCTGTCCAGTCACCTCGCACTTACGCTCCGTCCCCGCGCGCTGGGCTTCGGTCTCCGCGCGCCCGCAGGAAGAGCGCGAGACCTTCCCTTCAGCAGGCTGTGCTGGAGGAGGCGGGGTCCACGGCCCGCCCCCTGCCGCCACCCCCCCCTCCCCTCCCGGCGGGTATCGGGCCGGTGCCCGAAGAGAGGCGGCGGCCCCCGCAGCGGCCGCAGGAGGGGCGGCGGCGGCGGGCGCCGCAGGCGATGCCCCTGCCCGGCTGCTCCGGCGGGGGACGGTGCGAGCGGCGGCGGGGGAGCTGGCGGGGGGCAGCGGCTGCGGCGGCTGCAGCAGAGGGGCCGAGAGCTGGCGGCGGTGGCGGCGGTCGTGAAGGGCATCGGTAGCGGCGGTGATGGCAGTGTCGATGTGAGTGTTGGCTGACTGGGGTCCCCGGGGCTGCGCAGCCCGAGGCTGGCGGTCCGGCGGCGAGCGGGAGGCCGGGGCGGCGGAGGGATGCTATGTGCGCGGAGCAGAGCCGGGAGACGCCGCCTCTCGCCGCCGACGGTCGGGCAGAGGCTGGAGCCGGGGCTCTGCGGCTGCGGGCGCCTTGCACCGCGGCCCGGAGTGGGGGTCCCGGGCGGAGGCGGGGGCAGCGCAGGCCGAGGGGCGTCTGCGATTGTTCTCAACACCCCTCCCCCACCCCACCCCGTGTGTCTGTTTGTCACTTGCAGCTGAAGATGGAAAGAGCCAGGCGAAGGGGAGGCGGCGGCGGCCGCGGCCGCGGCGGCAAGAATGTAGGGGGCTCTGGCCTAAGCAAGAGTAGACTCTATCCCCAGGCCCAGCACTCCCACTACCCCCACTACGCGGCTTCAGCCACCCCTAATCAGGCTGGGGGCGCAGCCGAAATCCAGGAGCTGGCCTCCAAACGAGTGGACATCCAGAAAAAGAGGTTTTACCTAGACGTAAAGCAAAGCTCCCGGGGCCGGTTCCTAAAGATAGCCGAAGTCTGGATAGGGAGAGGCCGGCAGGACAATATCAGAAAGAGTAAACTGACTCTGTCCCTGTCTGTGGCAGCGGAGCTGAAGGACTGTCTAGGGGACTTCATCGAGCATTACGCCCACCTGGGCCTGAAAGGCCACCGGCAAGAGCATGGCCACGGCAAAGATCAAGCCTCCAGGAGGAGACAGAAGCACTCGGCACCCTCCCCACCTGTCTCTGTAGGGTCCGAAGAGCACCCTCATAGTGTCCTCAAAACAGACTACATAGAGAGGGACAATAGGAAGTATTATCTAGACCTAAAGGAAAATCAACGGGGTCGCTTCCTAAGAATTAGACAAACCATGATGCGAGGGACTGGCATGATAGGTTATTTTGGTCACAGTTTGGGCCAAGAACAGACTATTGTGCTCCCAGCACAAGGAATGATTGAGTTCCGTGATGCCTTGGTTCAGCTCATTGAAGACTATGGCGAAGGGGACATAGAAGAACGAAGAGGTGGAGATGATGACCCACTTGAACTCCCAGAGGGGACTTCTTTCAGAGTGGACAATAAAAGGTTCTACTTTGATGTGGGCTCTAATAAATATGGAATTTTCCTGAAGGTAAGTGAGGTGAGGCCACCTTACCGTAATACTATTACTGTTCCATTCAAAGCTTGGACAAGGTTTGGGGAGAATTTTATCAAGTATGAAGAAGAGATGAGGAAAATTTGCAACAGCCATAAAGAAAAGAGAATGGATGGCAGAAGGGCCAGTGGTGAAGAACAAGAATGCCTCGACTAGAGTGAAATTGAACTCCATCAGGCAAAATTTAAAATCATAAATTGGCTAAAAGTACTGATCCATAATCATTTGAAGAAGTTTTTCCTCTTTTTTTGGCCCTTTGGTATTAGTAATACCTCTGGTAGTATATACTTCAAGGAGTCTGATTCTCATGTTATACACAGAATATTATAATTCTTAAGGGAATTCCAACCTTCCCAGAGCTAAATAGTTCAGCTGCTTCACCTGCTCCAGACTATTGAAGTATGCAAATCAGCACAAAATGTGATACTCTGACCTTCTAAATACCATAACTTAAGATTTACATTGCACTATGACATGATCCCGAGAAAATATACATATACTTAATATGGAAGTGTGAATTTCTATTTAACAAGTTCCCCGAAAAAGTATTCCATCCCTATTTCATTAAAAGCTGCTAAGCTTACCTGTAGGGCAGTTACCACAGAAACGGAAATTGACCTCAAGTTATAGTATAAATATATTTCTTTATAAAAGTACATGTAGAAATATATTAGTTGTTCACTGGATGACTGAATATCAAAAGTACCATGAAAGAATTAAATCTTACAGTTATGATAGTATTCTATAATTTCAAATTTTGTGGTAACCCTGCAGTTGATAGTTGCCATATCAAAGCTGTGGGAGAGTTTTAATTGGTTATTCTAAACTAGTTGTAATCCCATCTTTACCTCTATTCACTATACCCTATATTTTTATTGACTTTCCAAAGTTTGAAGAATTACTTTTATGTCACTGTTGAGTGGGAGGCTTCATCCTATGGCTTTGCTATGGAAATCTTGGTGTTTTAGCCTTTCATGCTAATTTGAAGGTTGTGCGAGGTTTTTTCCCAAAATATATCATGGACTCAAGGTGTTATATTTTATGCTTCTTCTTTAGCACTATTTCAAAGGGGTTGGTGCACCAGTTAACTGATACAAAAATACATCTGTAATAATACATTTTAGTAGCACTTTTGCAATTGCTACCCTTAAAACCGTGTCAACACTTCCAATATAAACCTGGCTTTTACAGGTATTTTAATTCCAGAAAGAAAAAAAAAAATCTTTTTCTAAAAAGCATTTAGAATATAAATTTTCAGCCTGTGAAAATTATTTAAGGATTGGTTATAAACATATTTGAAAGGAAAATTCAGGCATTTTCCAAGGTGCTCTTTATGATACTTAAAAATAAGGTTTACTTTACACAAGACTCACCCATTTACCTGTATTAAAAATTACTTTCCAGGAAGTGCCACAGCAATTTTTCAACACCTAAGCAATTTTTAAACAAGTGGTTATAGTGTATATGTGTACCAACCCACCGTGTATTAACTGACTGGAATTTTATCTGTTGAGCTGCATTTTATTCTGATTGAAATTATTGTCTTTTATCTTGGCTTTATTCACCTCCCACACAATAAGTCCATATAATCATCTTTAAGAGCCAGACACTGATTTCAACCCCCAAATATAGCTCTCATTGATGAGAGCTGGCTGCATGGATTGAGATCAGAATGTAGCTCTCCTTTTATATGCTATAAGTAGTTCAAAATTATTTTAATAATTTTTTCCTTCAGCAGTTTGTCCCCAAATCCATTTAAGTAAGGTCACTAAGAGAACTTTGTGAGTTAAAAAAAGAATATTTCTGGCTTATCTTATTTCAAAACAAGCAATCAGTAACCCAGATATATATGCTGGTATTGGTTTTCAGATTGTATTTCACGTTTCCTCAAGTAGTATGAAGGAATCTCATTAGTTCATTATAATTGTGGACCATCTGGATTACTATGGAACAACTGAAGGTTAGAAGATAATGTTAGTACTAGAGTTAATAGCACATGGTGGGTGTTGAGACTCTAAAAGTAGCAAGGATCTTTAAGCAGTCCTAACTGTAAAATAACTATTGTAGACTTGATAAAAAGTAGTTCTTGGTATGAAGGAGTGATGTGCACTTGAATTACTGTACTACTGATTGTTATTGCTGCCCATCATAGTGCCTACTAATAATTATCAACCTGTCAGATTTTGGCAAACTGGAGTGATGAATGTTCCAGTATTCGAGTGTTCCTATCACTATTGCTATGACTATATACTCTTTCTTAAAACCTTCCCTCCTAAAATATTTATATCCATTAAATCTACATGATTTCTTTTTTGGTTTTAGTCTGATAAGATTTGAGTGTTTATGTCTATATATATACATATGTGTGTATATATACATATACACAATACTATGTCAGACTTAAAGATAAATATATTTAATTCATTGTATATAAATATTAATTTTGCATTAATTATTTAAGTCAAGAATTAGTTAAGTAACCAAATCTTCTACCTTGTATGTATACTTCAAAGTTATTACCGTCTCAAAGCTATAGATTGGTAGATGCATATATACCGGCAACTGAATATACATTAGAATCACTAAGCCTTCTGCCAGTCCTTTTGTTTCACTTTTTTATATGTATTCATTGAAAAATGAAATGTTATGATTTTTTGATACTTAAAATTCCCAATTATTCATTAGCCATAATCAAATAAGATCCAGTTCAAAACTCTGGTATTAGGACATGTATTGCCATGTATCTTATAAAATAAGCTACTATTTTTTCTGTGCAATATGCATTTTATTTATTGTCATTTGTAACATAAATGAAGCTGCAAGTGTACATGGTATTCTTCAAAATAATAGGATCCCGGCCTTGAGGATATTAAACTCTTAAGGCAGCTGGATGTTAGAAGTCAAAAAGTGAGCATTCAAGTTAGTAACCAAAATTACTAGTTCACTGTATAATTCTAAAACACTGATGATGTTTGCACATAATAACCCAAGTATAATGTGGTATAGACTCAAAACTGTAATAATATAAGCTAATAGTATGAGATTTGGAAACGGGTTCCTCATAATGGTTGGCAGTGTGCTCCTAGCAATTGAAAGCAACACTAATCTGTTGCTTATATGCAAAAGATGCAATTATAAAAGTATTAAAAGTTCTGCCACATTTTATAATTTTCCTTGTTAAAGCCCCAAACTGCCATGTCCCTTAAACTTGAGTCAAACACAAGCTTATTTGCACTAAAGAGCATGGCCAAAAAATAAACGACAGGGTGGAAAAGCTAGTTGGAACCTCTTGAAATAATTGGTTCTAATGGGAGAATTTCACATTTGTCTATTTGAAAGCTATATGGTCCAGGCAGACAATCTGTCAGTTCACTAATTTAATAATGCACTTTACCTTTTGTATATAGAAGATGTACATTTATGCCACTTGACAGGTGGGATGTGTTTCAATAACTATGTAGTTAGAATCTGTAGGGTGATCTCTTGCATGCAGACGTTTGTGTTGGAACTGCTATAATACAAGTTTCCATTAAATCAGTGTAATGGAGGAGGATAGAAGATGCTTTTGAAACAAGTCCCAATACATTTAACAAACACTTTTAAAGTAGAGTTCATATTTGTATTCTTAAGACCTAAAATCAATAAAAAAAGACATATTTCTAGCCCAGCTTAGTATTACAGTTGAGACTATATCTAGTTGAGACTCTTCATAATACCCTGAAAGTTGATTTTGGGAATTTGTGCAGACAAAAAAAAATTTTAATAATTCTGTTTCATTGTTGATGTGTGTTAAAATGACTAATGAAAAGACAGTAGTACATTATACTGTATTAGAATTAAAAGTATGGTTGGCTGATATGGCATCATTAAGAAAACACCCAGACTAAAGAAATAAAGTTTCAAATTAAGAAAATGCAAAGAGCCTAAGAACCATCGCTAAAATAAACGTAGTATTATTTCAAAATTTGCAGAACTAACTTTCACCAACCAAAAAGGGTATTGGGAAATTTAGCATATCCTTTCATCCTAAAAACTTCCTGAGATGTACATTTGAAAACTAGATAATTGTTGCTTAATAATAGGTTGTATGTACTTTACTAAGAAACACTGTGTACTAATAATTCATTGAGAATATGCTATATTTACTGCATTCATTTTATATATATGGATAAGAATACATTATATATAGTCATTCTATCTTAATATATTCATGTATTTATATTGTAATTTTGCAAATATTTTCAGTAAAATAAACATTTATCTGAGCTGCACAATTTGAAGAGGATGAAATTGGAATACACCCTCAGAAACTCATTTTTAATAAGCAGCTACCATTGAAAGTTGATGTATGTACTATCACTCCTTTAGATTTTGTCGTATGGTTTATTTTAATATTTAAGTGACTAGGACTTAATTTGAACTTTTAATGGTGTTCTGAAAATAATTTTTATAAGTGTGAGATATTTTTCCCCTGCTTATTTCAAAATGCCTTTCATTGGAACTATTTATAAAATCCTATTCCAAGCTTTATGTAAGGGCTTGGCTTAGTCACCACATAGTTTGAAGTCTGTCTTTACCAAAACACCAAACATCTTTGGCAGGATAAAATCTAAAGTAAACCACAAAGAGAAGTTAAAATTGATTCTATGCCAACAAAATAATACAGGTACAATTTTTAACACTGCCAAATAAGGTTCTTAAAGTCCTTCTGAAGTTTTCTTAAAGATTTCTTGAATTTCTTAGAGATATGGTGGCTAATGGCTAATCCATCAGAAGAGAATAAGGATGTTAGTATGCTGGTGAGACAATCCATAGTCCACAGTGCTGTAGCAATGAGGTACAGGGAAAATGTTTTTTCCCAAGCTAAGGTCATGCAAAATTTGAATTTTTAGATCACAGTTACTATCAGAAAGTAAATATAACAAAATTTAGGTAGGTGGATCTTGGGAAAACAATATATGCGTTAGTATACTTTC